TTAAGTCCGTCGTAATCACGTTCGAGCACGACGTTCGTGCCGTGACAATTGTTCTGTTTACATTATCGTAAAGGTGAAGGTGTTAAATAAAATAAGAGTCTGTGAATTTAAAAGGTGAAATAAAAGTGTTATATTCTAAACGAATATAAAGGTGTCCAAGTTATTGATCATAAATAGAAGTCCCGTTCCCCCGCGGAGTCGGATCCTCGTATTGTGCCCATCAACCAACCCCCGGGCACAACAGCCCTATGAGTGCTTATATAGGTGACTGGTGAGGTTACGGTGCCTAGGACGGAGGCTTGAATACTGGTGGAGTAGCAGGTGGATGACTGTTAGTTGATGTTTATGTGTATTGCTACATGCGTGATGTTGACTTCTGCTTTCATCTATATATGACTGCCAATAAGGCCTGCATTATATTTTTGGAGCGAATTCTTGGGCCTAATAAGTCGGCGTCTCTCATATAAAGGCTGGAAGCTTAATTATCAGAAATATTGTTAGTGGGCGGTTATATTCCCTAATTGAGCATATTATATTGTGAGGAATTTAGCTAGCTACGCCATTGACTCGATGCTGAAATTTACACAGAAAGCATAGCCTGTGATATACTAAGGCATGGTTATAACATATAGGACAGAGACTGCAAGATAGTGTTATATTAGCTGAAATCAGAGCGTTTATTTATTCATATGTGAATATAAGTAACAAGTAGTGACTGTGCGTACGGTGCCACTGCACTTGTGTACGCAGCGTAACTTAATGACAGGCATCAATATATAAGAGACAGTAAATATGGAGCATACGGGTAGTGTAGGGAGAGCGCCTCCTGCTTGCGAGACTGGAGGATCGATGATTACCACATTGCGGGAGCACATAAGCTGTCACTGTGCCTGTGTGCACTGTATAGCCTGGAAGCAATATTAGAAGCATTAGTTATTAACACTTATGATAATTGGAAATAAGAGGTGTCTTGCGGACGTGATTCAATTAGGTAATATTAGAGGGGATAGTTAAACTAGTGTCACCTGTTGAATAACTGCTAGGTTAGGTGTCACTGCGGGGGGACATGCGCTGCTGCTGCGTCCGCATGCGCTGCATAGTCTGAAAATAATATCAGAGATAGTAAATATCACCAATTTATGAGAAATGGGAATTGATAGTAACGTGTAGATATAATTTAAGGAAAATCTAGTAGAATAGGTTACAAATACCTTTGTTACCTGCTGACTGGTTGCAAGGATACAGTGTCACACCGCAGGGATACACTTGTCGTCGCTGCGCTTACGTGCGCTGTACAGTCTGGAAATAATATTAGAGACATTGATCACTATCAACTTATGACAAATGCGTATAGGGATGACTCGTTAGCACGATTTAATAGTATTCAAGGAGTGGATAATATAATAGATTAGCGTTACCTGTCAAACAACTGCAAGGATATGATGTAGTGTTGCGGGGGTGCATGCGCTGTCGTTACACCTGTGCGTACTGCTTAGCCTGAAATAACATCAGAAGATATTAACTACAATCTATTTATAAATGGATACAAGGTATGAGAAAAGTTGCTACGAATTGGATATTACTATGCATTGAACTTATACTATCATATTATACTGCGGGACAACACAGAGTGTGTACGCAGGTGTATGGCTGTGGATTGGGAATTAATATAATTTTAAGAGACATTATTTTGAATATATATATATCAATTTAACGTAAGGGATGGGTATTTAGTGTACAAGCCTTACAGACCAGAAATAGATTGCGGATGCGACACTTCTATACAGAGGGAAATAAAGGAAAGTAACTGAGCATTATTATCACATGGAAATGAGACTTCGGATAGAACAGAATATAAAAAGATTTCCGCGTTAGTAAGGGACTGTAGTGAAACGACGTTCGTTGGGAATAGCGAGCCGGCGTGCCTTCTCACCGTTTGACAGTGGTGAGGTGAGGTTAGGGTGCCCGTGCACGGCGCTTGAGACGAGGTAGCATAGAATAGTGAGGTTTCGTTGACGGCGTGAGCTGAATATACGATTATTTTGGACTGATTTTAAGCACTGCAATACCGGGGTGGCGCCCTTGGCCCATAAAAGCGGTCGGGTCGCCCTTCCCCGGTGTTTGGATTATCGTTGTGGAATTTGCATTTTCTCACCTTTCTTTACATCGGGAAGCGGATCTGCGGGGGGCAAGTACCAGGTAGGCTCCAGACTTGCTCGCCCGCTGCGTCGATGGAGTTGCGGTCGCCGAAAATAAGGTTGGTGTCAACAGAAATGTACCGCGGACTGTAGATACACAGAGCGTCAGTGGATACTCGGAGCGGGTTCCCTAAAGCATAAAGTAATAAAAGTATAGAGTGACAACTCCTACTTTGAGGATTGTGGCACAAGCATAAAGCCAACAAGATACTTGAGAAACGAAGAATGTAATTCAGG